AGCCACCGCTCGCCGCCCGGCCGCCCCGAGGCCTCGTCTTCCTCCCAAACTTTGCAAAGTCGGCCCGCGTCCCCGCCGCCCTCGGCCGCGCCTCGGCTCGGAGGCTCGCCTCGCAGCCGCAGCGGCCCCGCGAGGAGGAGGAGCCGCCGCCGCAGCATCAAAGAGACCGAATTCCCGCGGCCTGGGGGGGAGTCATGCTTTGCGGTCTGTAATGTCAGCAGAACAGGAGAAGGATCCCATTTCGCTGAAGAGAGTTCGAGGTAACCGGGAAGGGCACGGGATGGGGGGGATCGGGGTGAGTGGGGTGCGCGGGGGCCGCGTGCCCGGCCGCTGGGAGGCCACGGGGCTCTGTCCGGGCCTAACTCCGCGCAGCCCGCGCGTCCCGCCTGCGCCCCGGGGCCGAGGCTGCGGTTCGAGGCGCGCGGCCCCGGCGCCCGCTCGCCCCAGACAACTGCGCGGAGCCCTCGCCTCCTCGACTTTGTGTTAGTCGGCAGTTGAAGCCGCGCTCAGCATCCCTCGGTACCCCGCTCCTCTCCCACCTTAGCTCATTCGCGAGACAGCACAATAGGCACCTCGAAGGGTGAGAAAGAAGCAGCCCCCGGCAGAGACCACGAACGATGCCCACCCCCCAAAAAGTAAGTTGGACTGCTCAAGAGTTGACGCTTTGAGGAAGGTGTACCGGGCCTTCGCGTCTCTCCCAGCCCCCTTCCCACCTCAAAGGCAACAAATATACAGCTTATTTTGCTCGGGTTTACGAGGAGACACTATATAAATTCAAAAGGCATTTTCTTTATTGCCTCGTGGGTAAGAATCAAATCACCTAAAATCAATTTTATACGTGATTGGTTTGCTTCTTCCTTGCACACTAGTTAGGAAATTTCCTGCTGCCTTACTATCTAAGAAAAATCGGAGGGAACGCTGTACCAGACAAAAGATAATGCATGTAAGTTCACAGATGCCAAATACGGCTGGAAATTTGGGGGATATCCTCCAGTTTTTATTTTCAGCTCTAAATAGGGTTAAGGCTGAAAGTCCCAAAGTTGAAATAACACTGTTTGTTCATTAAGCAAATATTTATTGAACATGTACTGTGTGCTATGCAATGTTCTTGGCACTGGGGTACAACAGTGAACAAAGCAGAAAGAGTCTTCACCTGGCAGGAGTTCACACTCTAAACAGATAATGAACAAAAGGTATAGAATATCAAATAGTAAGTGCTCTGGAGATAAACAAAGCAGGTAAAGTGGTTAAGAAATACATCAGAGGTGGAGAGGTGTGGATTATGTGTAAGAGGACTCATGTGGAAGATGATGTTTGAGCCAGGACCAAAGGAAGTGATAGACCAGAGCCATATAGATATGTGTGGGAAGAGCAGTCTCAGCAAAAGGAACAGCAAGTGCAAAGGCCCTGGGTCTGGAATTTGCCTAGTGTATTCAAGCAACAGCAAAGAAGTTATGGTAACCAGCAGAGAATGAGCAAAGGGAGAGTAGTATGAGCTGAAGAGAAAGATAGGGTGAGAAGAGGTGTGTGTGTGTTTGTGTGTGTGTATGTATGTGTATATATATTTAGGATTTTATTGATTTCAGAGAAAGAGTGCACATGCATGAGGGGAGGAGGGGCAGAAAGAGAGGGAGAAGCAGACTCCCTGCTGAGCAGGGGCTCAGTCCCAGGACCCCAAGATCATGACCTGAGCCCAAGGCAGCCGCTTAACTGACTGAGCCACCCAGGCGGCCCAAGAATTATATTTTTAACAGGGTTTTTTTGGCTGCTCTGTGGAGAGTAGACTATAGGGAACAAGGGCTGAGGCACGGAAGCTAGTTAGGAGGCTATTGCAATAATCCTTTCATCCAAACAGGATAAAGTGCTTTATAAATCAGTAAGTAGTAAGGTAAATTTCCAATTGACTTAAGTGATGTAGAGATCAAGAACCACGGTCATTCATCTATGTTTTTGTTCCACGTGACTAGAGATTAAACCTAGAGAACTGGATTATAACACAGTGACAATGTGGTACCCAAAAAACATCACTTGAGTATTTAGGTAGAGATTGATTTTCTTAGCCATTTAAGCAAAAACATAATTTAGAGCAGAATATTGTTTTTAAGGCTTAATATCAGCATAGGTTTTCTATTTTGGCTTTCTTTTCTATTTGTGGTTTTGAGTTGCCAAACCCTTTAAGGAATAGACTTTCCTGAGATACAGTTATTCCTTTGATATTCTTGCCGTATTATTTTGCCTATTATTATAAATTACTTTGGGGTTGAAGGAAAAAGAAAGAGGGCTCTCAAGTTTATACCTTTGAACTCAATTATCAGTCTTAATCAAATGTAATTTTGAATAAAATGGATGGGTATTTTATTGTAGGTCAAGAGCACAGATCTATCTATATTTTGTTCCAGCTACTGCTTTTAAGTTTGGTGGCTTAGCTGTTTGTCGTTGGCTCAGGTGTCAGCTCAAGAATATTCTGCGAGTTAAGTACCAGAATAAAAGGCAAAGAAAGCACTTTTTAAAATAAAAAGTCAATATGAGGAAGAGTTTTTACAATAAGTCACTGTGTTGTGGCTATAACAATTTTTTTCCATTTTATTTATTTATTTATTTTTTAATTTAATTTTATTATATTGTGTTAATCACCATACATTACATCATTAGTTTTTGATGTAGTGTTCCATGATTCATTGTTTGCATGCTCCATGCAGTATGTGCCCTCTTTAATACCCATCAGCAGGCTATAACAATTTTTAAAACATTTTTGGATTATTTTATAAAAGGTACCAGAATATCTGCATGAGTTCTTCTGAAGCACAGTTCTGCTGAACTTGACTGCTCTGCAACTTTTTGTTGTAATTTATATGCTAAGACTGCATGCAGGATGTGGTCTTTGCAGAACATAAACTGTGAGCAGTGCTTCTTAAACTGTTTCCCATCCACCCATGTATACAGACAGATTTAAATAGTTATGTATTTATTTCATATGTATTATAAAAAATATAAGTCATCAAACCTCTTGTTTAGGATAAGGCCAATATACACACACACAGTTTCAATTTAAAGAAATTATTAAGCAAATAGTATTATAGATGGAACTCAGACATGGCAAAATTATGACAACATGAATGACGAAGGACTTTATCAGTAGTATACTGTGTAGATAAGTATCATATTCCCTGGGATATTTTTAAAAATGTAGGTTTCTGGGCCCACAGAATCAGGATTTCTGGGAGATTTCTCTACATCTTTAACAAGATCCCCCATGTTCCTTATACTTACTAAGGTTTGAGAACTGCTGATGGTAGACCTAGATTGAAAAGGTGAGTGGACAAGAGGAAGCTGATTTGTGGTCTTCTAAACTTGTCCTGATATTTTAATATTAGATTCAGAATTGCTATTTAGTGGCAAAGTATCTTACTCTTATTTTCTATCAGTTGTTACCATCCCCAGTCCCTCAGCCCTTGATTATAAGAAGGATCCATGAAGATAGGTACAATATCTTGGTTATCTTTCTATTTCTCCCCTCATTGCTTTGCCTGCAGTAAATGCCAAATGAATGAATGAGTGAATACATGAAGTAACTCATTCATATGTTTATGCTGATTTTTGATTGTCTGTTCTCTTAGAATGTTACCTGTCATCCTTATTTTAACCAACATTCTCATTATCCAGTATTCTTAGAACTCTTAGGTGTTGATATGATCACAATATCCATTCATTTATTCAGCAAATATTTATTGAGCAGTCATAGCACCAGACAGTGGAAATATTGATTAAGAAGGCATAATTCTGTCTTCAAGAAATCTTTAGGATGCAGACAAATAAGTAGTTACAAACAGCATGAGAAGTGCTGTGATCATCTACAGGAAATAATGGAACATATAACCTATCTTTAAGGGAATCAAGGAATGCCTCCTGGAGAAGTGTTCTAAGAAGCAGTGAGGGTTCCTTTGTGGAAATGATGTAGAAAGAGTAGCAATGAGGATGGGGGATGAGAAAAAGGTCTAGTAAGTCAGCAGTGGTTTTAAGAAGGCACTTCTGGGAGAAAACCACATTTTCAAGTAGTGAAATTGAAGTGATAAAGATGTGATGTAAAGAAGCTTGGTGGTAGAAAGACATAGCCAATAGCTTGGAAAGATAGAGTTAAGAGAAAGTGTCTTTGTATTTCCTTTGAAAAAAGATAAACATACTGGTAGACTTACAGAAGAACTGTAAGGGGGAGAAACTGAGAGGGGAGAAACTGAAAAGCAGCAGAAGAGAGGATAATTCATTAATAAAGCATTCATACATGTTTTTAAATAAGTACCATGTGCTAGGCACTCGATGTGGGAAGCTAGAGATGAGACAGAAAAGGCTTCTTTCTCAAAAGTCAGGTCTCTGTAGGTGAGAGAAGGGAAATAGCATCAAGGTTTGAATGAAATGAAGAGGTAGTCTTGGAGGAAAAAAAAGAGAGTGAAGAAAGACAGAAATTTAGAGATGAAGAAGGAAGTTGAGAATTCATTCCAGATGAAGTGTTTTTAACCAGAGTTAGCTGGTTAAACACTGGAGAGATTGGGATGTGTTTTAGAATGGGATAATAGCATAGAGATACCATAAAAGTAGTAAAAGTAGACTTTACTAAAAAATGTAGGCCATCTAGAGTGAGTGTATGGAGGATTTGGATTAAGGTTGGAGAAGAAACGTAATTTACGTAGTCATAAAGTGGAGAGGAAGAGCCAGTGGAAGTCTAAAGGAAAGATTTTAGGGGGTTTTGTTGTTTTATTTTTTAATTGGTACATATAAGGGCTGGGCAGATTATCAGGAAAGTAGTTTGTTTTTCAACACATTACATGAATATCCCCCTGAGATGTTTCAGTGTGCACAATGGATATACATGGTTTGGAAGTGAGGAAAGTGGGCTGAGCCAGAAGTAGAGACCTGGAAGTTATCAGTAAACAAGTCAGTACTAATTGATGCCTTGGGAGTAGATAGCTCACCTGTGAGAGTGAAAAGTGAGAAGAGAAAAGCATTGAGAAAAGCAACTTTAGGAACGCTAATACTTAGAAGACAAAAGGGAAAAGAGGACCCTGAAGAGCAGAATGTGAAGGAGTAGCCTGAGAGGTAGAAGAGAAGAACCAACAGAGAATAGTGTCACAGAAATATAAAAGGAAGAGCAGATTTATGAGGGGAAGATAAATGAATTTTGTTTTTAGCCTGTTGACTGAAATGTATCTATCTGTGAGATGTCCAGTGTGCTCTTTCTCCCACATTCCCTATCTTGGTGAACATC